CGAATTGCCGTCCTCCGTGACGCGACGGCTTGTACTGGAGCTTCAGCACGGCCGTCTCAGGGTCCTCGTGCAACGTTCTGTCCATCAGGGGTTGCCAGACGTCCGCCTCCGTCTCTGATTGGAGCAGCGCCTTCCCAGAGGTGAGGAGGATGAGACCGCTGCATAACGGCCAGGCCTTGCACGCAGCGCTGGGGTGCGCGAGCTCGGCGAGGAGGGCCCCTGGGTCCGAGAACATCGCATGCGAGCCGTAAAACGAGTCGGGGGGGAGCGCCGCGCTGCGGAGGCGACGCATGCGGAGCTCCTGTTCCAGAGCTGGGATGGCCCGGTCGAAGCGGATATCTACGGTGATGCGTGGGACCTCGGCAGTGTGGCCTGGGCTGCGGGTGATTCGGCCCATCGTCGCACACCGCATGCCAGGATCTGACATGAAGCTGTAGACCAATGGGAGTGCCATGGCAGGGATGTCCACCACGTACGTGGGCTTGTCCTCGAGAGAGAGGAGGGGCTCCCCCACCGTCAGCATCTTGGGAGGGCCCTTCGGGAGATACGTGGAGAGCGTGAAAATCGCGAGGCCCTTGAAGTCTTGCCGCGGCCCCACGGAGCCAGGAGACACGAACTCCATGGGGTGCGACACGAAGTCCACCTGCCGGAGGAGGGCTGCCCACTTTTCCCCCAAAATGGGATGCCACCAAAGATCCCGGATGGCGTCGACCGAGTGGGACCGAGGAAAAGTCTCCAGCGGAGTGATCATACGGATGTACTGCGGGAGTGAACCGCCGCTGGAACGTTTCAGCATGTGTTCTCGGAGGCGGCCCAGCGCGGAAGAGTCGGTGGGGGCCCAGATGACGACCGGCACGTTCTGCAGCAGATCCCAGAAAGAGTCGTCCCCCTTCTCGGCCAATTCGGCAAGACGCCGAGCTCCATCGAGGGGGAGAACACGATCATCGGCTTGCTCCCGGAGACGTGCGCCGAGCAGCGCAGACCATTGCGTCGCGACGCGTTCCTGTGGCGAGAGGGCTGTGTCGAGTACCGCGCAGAGGGCTTGTGGCCCAAGCTCCTTCCAAAGAGGGAGCCTGCTGGGTTTCAGCTTCCGGCGTTTCTTGCGCCAGCCGGCGAGGGAGTTGGCGCAGTCCTGGACGGCCAGCTCGAGCTTCTCCAGGAAGGGGGGGACCAGCTGCTTGTCGCTCTGTGACCAGCGCGGGCCCTCAGCAGCAGACGAAAGCAGCCGGGCAGTGCGGGCTCGCGACTCGAGCATGCCGAGCGTCGGCTCAGGCCCCTCCAGCGGGCTGAGCCCTAAGACCTGCCAACAGTCGGACGAGGTCGGGTCGTAGGCGAGTCCCCGCAATACCGTCATAAGGTCGTCGAAGGTCGCCAGCGTGGATGCTGCCGAAAGCGGCGGGCTCTGCCCTGTCGCCTGAGCGGCGCGGACGATCTCGAAATAACGCAAAATCTCCTGTTCCAAGAGATCACTGAGGAGCTCATGTGGCAACGGCTGGGGCACCGAGAGCGGCTGGTGCACGGAAGCGACTCCTGGAACTGCAGCGGGCTCGGCGGCAGCTGCGGCGGCTGGGACAGGCGAGAAAGCTGTCGAGAGTCTCGGGGCCGTCGCAAGCGCAGCCGGGGGAGGTAGCCCAGGGGCAGGCGGCACGTTCGGCGGGGCGTCCAGCTCGGCGTCCATCCGCATGCCGTCCATCGCCTGCGACAAACCGGAAGCCCCATCCGCCTCGGCGTCTGCAGCCGGTGCGCCGGGCGCCTGGGCAGCCAGTCCGGGCGCAGCACCATCGGCGCTGGCGGCGGCCGCGTGCGTGGCGCAGAGGGCTGCCCCGGGAAGCGCCGCGGCGTCCACGCCTCCAGCGAGGCACCTGATGCACCGTCCGGCCATGATATCGAACCCAGTCGGAGGGGGCCGACTGCGCGCGGGTCGGCGCGCGATGCGGAAGTGGTCTGTAGGTGCCCTCGATAGGCTTGAGCCCTAAACCCCTGGACCTTGAGCCAACCCGAGGCCATACACCTTGTAGTTTACACAATATGTGCGTCCCCGAGGCCACAAACCCTAGTCAAGCACGCCATCTTCGCGTCCTGGAGGCTGTAAACCCAAGTAAAGTATATAAGATTCGCTCCTCCGATGCCCTACACCCACGTAAATTACAATGCTTGCGTCCCCGAGGCCACATACCCCGTGAAATTCACCATAGTCGAATCCCCGAGGCCATAACCCCCTTTGTAAAGTATACAACAATATCCACATCGAAGCCATAAACAATCGTAACGTAACGAATAAACGAGATTCGCGTCCCCAAGGCCATAACCCATCGTAAATTACGCTCGGATCGCGTCCCCGAAGCCATAATCCTTTCTGCTAGTTGCACAAAGGATTCGCGCCCCCAACCAGGCACGGTGGGGGGATTAGCCGAAAGCCACTACGATAACGCCAACGTCTCGATATGCGCGGATGATTCCTATCCGCCCCCGCATGATGTTCCTAGATGCGCCAAGGCAGCGCCGAGACGCACCGACGCGACTCTGATGTATCCCATTATGATAGAGGGGCAGTCAACGGCAGGGGGCGAAACCCTTACGGAGCATATATATATGTGTATATATATACATAGATGCACACCTACATTTCCATGTACACATACATACACTCGACCAAGATGATAAGGATGCGCGGTAAGGATGAACAGGCCTTGGAACATGTTGCCGTTTTCCGTGCGGAGCGCAGCAGAATGCCGAAGGATGCCGAATACCAAAGGGGCAAGGATCCAAGGGTAGCCTTGGAAAGTTGCCCCATCCTTACTATCATGGTTGACTGTACACATAGGCAGGACATGTACATATACAATTACATGTACGCGTACATGTGCATATACATAGGCATATTCATATACCCATACGTGCGCACATTCAAAGACGTATACATATATGTATGGGTATAAGTATACGGATACACAACCATATACAATTACGTGTGTCTACGTATGCATGTGCCAATACAAATACACATACCTATACGTAAACACATACATGCATACATATATATATATATAACTAGAATCATCGCGCGCTTCGCGCACGCTCAAGTTCTAGCTAGGCTTGATCGGCCAACTCATGTAATATCATGTTTGTCGTTTCTTGCGTTCACGGACTCCTTTGGAGGTCCTGGCCTCGGAATCGTATAGAAGGGGAAGTGCGGAAACGCAGAAATCATTCATTTCCTTCAGGTATTCATCGATTTAGGGCCTCAAAAGCTTCCTGGTTTCTTTGGGGGAGGTGAGGGGTCTGAATTGTGGTCTGTTGTGCAAGAGTAGACGGGGGGCCAAACTTGAAAAAAAGAAAAAATATTTTTGGATTTCCATGTTTTCCCAGTTCCTCGGCGCTGTTCGGCACTGTTTTTTGTTTGTGCCTGGCGGGTTTTGTTAGCTGGGCCCCTCAGAGGTGTGGGATCTTCCGGACCCCCTAGGGATTCTGGAGGCCTCCTGGAGGCCTGGAGAGCCGTCGGAAGGGTGTCTCGGGCTGCGCGGGAGCGTCTTGGGCCGTTCTTTACGTTCTGGGGGCTCCTTAGGGTGATTGGGTTGTCCTTGGGCGTCTTGGGGGCTCCCCAGGAAGCCAGGAGGCGCGGTACCGGCCAGATGTCAGGAGATGTGTGGGATCTCCGAGTCGGATTCCCACTTTGAAGAAAAAGAAAGAATTCTGGGAATTCTATTTTTTCACCAAAAATATTCGATCTTCGAGGGTTGGAAGTGGGAAAACGTGAGAAGGCGAAAAACATTAGAAAAACAATGTTAATCAACGATTTGACCCCCCTTTGGGCTCTCTCGGGGCGGCTCTCGCAGCTCGTCGGGGTCTTTTTTGGGCCTCTCAGGGATCGGGGGTGTGTTGGGGGCCTCTGGGGGGTCCCGAAGGCCTCTCGAAGGTCTCTGGAAGCCTCCTGCTCCCGCTCTTGGGCCCATTTTGGGCCTGTTGTGGGGTGGTCTGGGGCTGTCCTGGGCGCCTCTTCGGCAGTCTTGGAGCCTTCTTGGCCCGTCCTGGGGCCGTCATGAGGGTCTCTTGGGTGGTCTTGGGGCGGTCTTGGGAGCCTCTTCGGCGCTCTTGGAGCGTTGGAAGCTCGAAAAACGCGAGAAGCCAAAAACATTGAAAAAACAATGAACATCTACGATGTTGGCCTCTTCGGGCCGTCCCTGGACGCCTCTCGGACCTCTCTTGGGGTCTCTTGGAGGCCACCTGGGAGCCCCGAGAGCCGTCGGAAGGCTGACTTGGGCTGCTTGGGAGCGTCTTGGACCATCCTTTCGCATTCTGGGGGCTCCTGGGCGGCGTCTTGGACCCTCCTGGAGCGCTGTGGAGGCTCCCCAGAAAGGCCGGGGGAGCGGTACTGTGAGCGTTCCCGAGATGTTCCGGGGAGGTGTGTGACCGGGGCAGCGGGGGGGCGGCTATTCATTGATAGCACATAATTATAATTATGTATACTGATAAGTGTGTATGTATATATACACACGTATACATATATATATATATATATATATATTCATACATATATATATATATATATATGTATATATACATATATATATATATGTCTATATATACACGTATAGATTCCCCACCGAGCCCAGCAGCCCCCAACACGCAAACCTTGCTTATGAGTGCACAGAAATGCGCCCTGGCGGCATCGAAAGACGAAACATCAGAATTGCCTTACGGGCACTCGGACATGACGAACATGAACGTGGATGACCGAGCATGATGCGCCCCACGCACTTCTCTCGTGGAGTACCTCCTTTCCCGCGATCATGTCTATGCATATCATTGCACAGTGCTTACTTCTGTGTCTCCCTGCTCATCACCATCGAAACTTCCGCATGGTAGCAACCAACGCCGATCTTGCATCGAGCATCTAGATGACGAATCTTAGAGACCTTCGCAACGTGACCGCAACGCCTACAAACGCTACAACACCCAACAGAACTGCGCAAAGAACCAAAAAAAGGCACCACATTCGCCTGACCATCCGATGACAGGGTCACGGGCGTTCACGTCGGCGCCTTCGCCTGGTAGCGTGTCTTGAGTGCGAGATTCGGCCCTCTGTTTCTTCTCTGAGAAGGGAATGATGAGGGTCTCCGTGCATCTGTCCCCAACACCTGCAGTCCCAGTCCCATGACTCCGCCCACCATGTGGACCTCCTTCGGCGGCGCGCACAAGGGGGTAGGGGGGAGGAAGCGAAACTTTTTAAAAAGAGGCTGCTTCTTAGAAAGCGCCGGCCTTTATCTACAGTCAAGGCCCGCGCCTTCTAAGAAGCATAGATGCTCATTCTGGGGACCTTGGAGCCACTCGCTCCACACTCGTGCGTCGAAGCTGCGTCGAAAGTCAGTCGACTCAAGCCGAACCTGAGCCGAACCTAAGTCGAACCTGAGTCGAACTTGAGTCGAACTTGAGTCGAACTGGAGTCGAACTGGAGTCGAACAGATCCGATAGGTGGGCCCCAGGAAGGTCCCCGAAACGAGCCTCGAAGCAGCAGGGGGGCTTCTGCGCTGGGCCGCGTCTCCGCGCATCTGTCCCCGCAACACCTGCAGTCCCCGTCCCCGCTCTCATGACTAGACAAGCGAGCTCCACCACTCGCAAAATAATTAGTCGTAAATGGCCTGGATCTGCCGCGGGGGATTTACGATACATTACATCGAAGCAAGCATGTGATCTGGGGACCTCTGCGAGTGTGCACATTGCGAGTAGTGGAACGCGCTCGGTGAATGACTCCGTCCACCATGTGGACCTCCCTCCGAGCTCGAGGGCGGGGCCAGCACAGGAACTCACGTCTACCGGAATCCCTGAGAGGTGCTGACCTATATCAGGGATCGACTCACCCGAAACCCGGGCCAGTCGGGCTTTGTAGGATCCTGCCAAGCCCTGCAAGATCCTGCGCGCTACCCCGGGTCAACGCGATGCACCCCAACTCTGCTGGATCCTGCAAGATCCGGAGCTCTGGCTGACCCCCGCTTGCACTGACACCCGTCTCCAGGCTCCCGACTGAACTGGGGCCATGGCGAGCCGGGGAGTGCGGACGCGAAGCCCTTTTCCATTCCACTGGGCGGCAGGCTCGGACCAGCGCCCACCTGGATTTTGGTTGGGCACGCCAGAGAGTGGGGGGGACAATCTCTGATGAGGAGACAACCTCCACGAGGAATTACCCCTCGATAAGATACAGCTATGCTCAATCTTGCTGATGAGGCAACGCAGCGCTACACTGATCGACATATGGACTCACGAAAACATGCACGCGTGCATGGCTGTCGAAGACGCAGACGTCGGCAACGCTCCCTGCGCAGGCGTTGTGAAGCGTTAGATCCAAGCCACCAAATGCTAACACATTTGCGAGCGCCTACGAGACGCTTGACGTTCTCGAGGGACCCGGTCTGCGCGGCCACCATGAGCGTAGTCATGCCGCCGTCGAAGACGGGGGAAACCTTTTGGCTGGACACCGCAATATAAGATACGGCCCCCCACCTCCGACGTCGTGATTTTTCACACTTGCCACCCTGGCCTCTTTGCCACCTCCTGGCACCCACGAACTCGTCTAGGACAGCTAGTTGACGGTGCTGGGGCCCGACACGAGCTTAGCGAGGCCGCGAACAACGAGCAAACACTGACACCGAGAACAAACAAACACGTCGAACAAATGGGACCGCAGTCTCACTGAGTGGTACGGACTGAGACGCGTGCCGAAGAAAAGCGGGACGGGATCGACCGCCCCCTCACACACACACACACACACACACACACACACACACACACACACACGCACGCACGCACGCACGCACGCACGCACGCACGCACGCACGCACGCACGCACACACACACACACACACACACACACACACACGCAAACACCGTGTTTGCGTGTGTGTGCGTGTTTGCCAAACACGCACACACACACACACGCGCACGCACGCACGCACGCACGCACGCACGCACGCACGCACACACACACACAGACACACACGCAAACACGCACACACACACACATACACATACACACACACAAGGACCACGAAACGCTGTGTACTGGGCGGGGGAAACGCATGCGATCTGCGTCACTGGGTCCTTCGGTGGAGCTCCCCACGGGGCCACGAAGCGCTGTGCTGTGTGGGGGAGACGCATGCGAACTGCGCCACTGGGACTCTCACTGGGGCTCCCTATGGGGCCACGAAGCGCTGTGCTGGGTGGGGGGGACGCATGCGATCTGCGCCACTGGGACCTTCGGTGGAGCTCCCTATGCGGCCACGAAGCGGTGTGCTGGCTGGGCGAGACGCATGCGAACTGCGGAGAAAGAGGAGGGAGGAGGAAGGAAGGAAGGAAGGAAGGAGGAACGCGGGGCGCTGTCTCTTCAAATCGATGACCCAACAACAGACTGGTTGGGAACAATATAGGTGGCACGTATTAACGAAATCAGGAGCATGCGTGGGCACCACGTGATCAATTTGAATTGCTTTTCGATCGACAAGAGCGAAGGGGGTGTCAGTTTTTGCCTGCTGCGCGCAGGCCCCCAAATCCTTGACAAAAGAACATCATACATTGGCTTGCTGGCAGTGATCATGCGCAGAGTCCCCGCGATCATGTTGCATTGTCATTGGAAAGGGATGATGGGGGTGCCCAGGCACGCACGCGCGGCGCACCTCGCGGGCGTCGCGCACCTGGGTGGCGTCTGCACAGGTTCCCGAACATGATCTACGCTGGCCCGTGCCCATGATACGATTCGAATGCTACTGGTGTGATGAGAGTGCGGGTGGGAGTGAGCGAAAACGCTGTCCTTCGGGGGGAAGGCTTGACCCTACCCTACCATAATCTACTCTACTCTATTCTAGTCTGCTCTGCTCTACTGTTTTCTACTCGACCCTAGTGTGCCTGAGCTCTTTTCTTTTCGGCTCTACTCGACGATCTGTCCTACTCTGCTCAACTATACCCTGTTCGACCCTACCCTACCCTACCCCACACTACTCTAGCATACTCCTGCCCAGCTCTACGCTACTCCTTCTCTAATATACTCCACCGTGCTCTACTCTGATCCGCTCTACTCTGCTTCATTCTGCTCTGCTCTACTCATCTACTCATCTCCGCCACCGCGCCTCCGGGCGCGGAGTGGGCGCATACTCAGGTCCTTCGCCTAAATCCCTGGAGCCGAAGTCCTCAGTCCTGAAGGAGTCTTAATTTGAAGGCCCAGAACCCAAATTCCGAAACTTGGTGGGGCTTGCCGCGGTTCCCCTGGGCTGCGCCGCGGCTTGCCGCCATAATTGCTCGGGCCCACGAGGGCCCCAAGAAGGGTCGAGAGGGCTGCAGAGGGAAAGGAGGAGTGGGCTCCCAGCGCCGACCCAGGAGGACCTCACGGGCCTCCGACATCGCGCCGATGTTTGACCTTCGATGGAAAGATGCCAGGACCGGGGGGCCAGAGCGACAGAGAGGGCGCGAATAGAGTGAGGGGCGACACGCGGGGGGAAGGGAAGAAGAAATGGGTTCAGGGGTCGAATCCCCCCCCCTGCGAAACTCACCATTTCATTAGATCATCCTCCGCCCTCTTTCTTCTCGCGCTCCCCCCTCTCTCTCGTTCTCTTTCTCTTTTTTTTCTCCCTCCCTTCCCCAGGAAGAGGAGGCAGAGGCGGAGGAGGAGGAGGAGGAGGCGGAGGAGGAGGAGGCGGAGGAGGAGGAGGCAGAGGAGGAGGAGGAGGAAGAGGAGGAGGAGGAGGAGGAGGAGGAGGCGAGGGCAAAACAAAAAGTTTGTTTTTGTTGTTTGCCCCCCCCCCCCCCCACACCCACGAAGCCCGAGGCGGAGGTGGAGGAGGAGGAGCCCGAGGCGGAGGTGGATGAGGAGGAGGCGGAGGCGGAAGAGGAGGAGTATGCGTGCCCGCACTGCGGGGCTGACTTCGGCATCTGCCTCAAAAACGACCACGGGGTCCCTGGCTGGCGTTGGCGCGGCCCGCGGTACGACGACGCGTGCGAGCACTGCAAGGGCAAGGAGAAGCGCGTGGGCGTTGGGGGCTTCTTTGATGGTGCTGACGGAGCCAACTGGCTGAGCAAGCTGAACGTCATGGCCATGTGGGTGCTCGGGTACGACCACGGCAAGATCGTGGAGGACGAGAGGGAGTCTGAGCGCACCTCCCACAAGACCATCGACCGCTGGCTTGACGATTTCCAGCGGGCCGCCTGCAAGCACATCGACGAAAACCCCGTGACCTTCGAGACGAAGGGCCGCGGGCAGGACGCGAAGAAGAAGAAGAAGCCTGCAATGAAGGGCCCATGAAGAAGGCCATGAAGGGGGCCCATGAAGAAACCCCCAATGAGGTCCAAGTTCGCGAAGCAGGCCCAGAGGAACTCGGCGGCCAAGAAGCGGGTGATCATGGCCGACGAGACGTTGCTCTGCAAGGACAAAAGGAGCAAGCTCGCCAAAAACGCTCGCCCGAAAAAGGACCAAATATGGCTGCGGGGTGCCGTCCTTCAAGAGGACTCGAACGCCTTTGTCTTCCGTGTGCTGGACCACCCCGCGGACGCCCTGGACGGCCGCCCTCGCGGCGCGTCGGAGATGGTGCAAAACCTCAAGGTGCTTGGGCTCACGAAGGACGACGCCTTCGTGAGCGACAAGTGGGGGGGCGCACCGTGGCGGCCGTTAGGAGGCTCCGCACAGAGAACGGGTGGCCGCGCACCAAGCCGCGGAACAAGATCGTTAACCATTCTGAGGGCGAGATCGTGAACGCCCGCGGCTACTCCACGAACGCCATCGAAGCGAAGTGGAGCGTTGTGAAGCGCTGGATCCGCTCCAAATACGGCGGGCGCCTCCCCCAGCACCATGACCGCGGCAAGTGGAGGGCAGTGTTGAAGGAGTTCATGTACAGGAAGACGTACGGCACTCACACCCGCGACTCTGGCCATTGCTACAAGATCCCCGTCAAAGCGCTCATGGGCAACATTGCCCAGCAGTGAGCGCATGTGCGGCGATCTAGCCCCGCCGATCGAGAGCCCGACAGCCGCCCCGCCATCTTTGGCATCCAGCACCCCGCTCTGTTTTTGTTTTGTTTTTTTCACAGCCATCGGAGATGTAAACCACTACCTTCACCTACCCTCCGAGCTTCGTGGTATGTCGCGGGCCCTGGAGAAAAATAAAGCAGAGTAGCGCAGATGTTGCACCAGTATGACGCAGCTTTGTAGAGGCATCAATGCGACATTGCGATTGTTTGCCCCATGTACACTACCCCGCTAACACGCTTGCACTCGCGCCCCCCTATGCAGTGACAGAAAAGAACGCATCGGAAGCGGCTGCTGTAGCCTCATACGGGAGGTGCGCTTGTGGGCGGAGGGCGGCTGGCGAGGGAAGGGCCGCGGGGGCCGCGCGGAGGGAGAGAGAGCGAAAAGGGGGAGAGAGAGAGAGGGGGAGAGGGAGACAGAGAGAGAGGCCCGACACCAATGTAACGATTTGCTTAAAAACGCAGTGGGGGGAACCGAAGAAATGTGCCCTTGTCAGGCACTGATAGGCCTTGCAAGGACCTTAAAGGGCCCCTTGTCGGCAGCCGTCGTTGCCCCCCCCACTGGTCGCCCACCACTACTTCGCGCCCAAGCTGGAAAAGGCCCCAGATGTTGAGAACGGACAGGACGGACCGAAGTACCTGACCGACCGGAGGGGATCCGTGGGTAGAGGAAGGATTACAGCGATGAAGGCATGCATCCCTCGATGCTGTTCAGTCCTGTGTCTCCAGTACCTGTGTCGAAAGGGGCAGCGGTAGAGAAGAGTAAGAGTGGGAGAGAGAGAGAGAGAAAGGGAATTCACACACACACACATAGAGAGAAATCTGGTACCTTGGTTCTTGGGGCACGCGGGGCACGGCCGTGCAGCATTCTTGGATGTCCCTGGGCCCTCGAACCTGGGCACGGCCCACAGGAAGGGCAGGAACCAGTACAAAACTGCCCGCATTGCTTCCCCCCCATGTTCGAAGATTGGGCCCTTATAAAACACTCCACGTGTGATTAGTGTAACGCCTCCGCCTCCCTCCTCCCCTCCACTCAGATTGTGAGGCCTCCGCCTCCACTTGTGATGCCATCCGCCTCCACTTGTGATGTAGTGTGACGCCTGCGCCTCCCTCGTTCTCCCCTCCACTCAGACCCACTGGTTAACACTTCGGGGAGCAACACACAGCATCAATGACACACCGCCGTGGGGAACCCATCAGCGTGCTGCTGTTGAAGAAACGCCAGGCCTTTCGACAAAGACGAAGGAGTAACACGCTGATGGGCTACCAACGGCAGCGTGTCATTGGTACTTCTTCTCCCCTCCGAACACTCACTTTCACTCAAACTCAAGATCAAAGTCACTGACAGACTCGTTCATACTCAGACACATTCGCATCACGCTGGGACTCAACCATGTTATTACCCATACTCTAACAGCACACACACACTCAGATCCACCGATACTCAGACTCACTCATACTCAGACTCTCTGCTACTTAGAACACAGTCGCACTCAGACTCACTCATACTCAGACAGGCTCACACACAGACAAACCCACAGTTTGTCACTCTCTCACACACAGACACACATGCACACACACACACGCCCACACACACACACACCTACACACACAAACACACACGCACACACACACACACACATGCACGCACGCACGCACGCACGCACGCACTCACGCACGCACGCACGCACGCACGCACGCACGCACACGCACACGCACACACACGGACACACGCGCACACACGTACATATATATATACACACACACACACACACACGCACACAGACACACACTCAGGCCCACTCATACTCACTCCTCGACTCGACCATGTTCACCGCGCTGTAGCAGGCGTGGCAGTTGTGCATACCACGGAGAAACCGCCATGGATGGAGAGGGACACTTGCCCGTCCGCGACCAGAGCGTGGGGATGTCGCGAGCAGGCTCTCGCTTTGCCCCTCCCGTTCCTCTCTTTGAGAGCTCCATGATCACCGCGATATAACAAATATAACCCTTGGGCGACTCAAGGAGCTGCTAGTGATTGGGACACTTCCCCGTTGGAGGCCACATCGTGAGGACGTCACGAGCGACGCGCGTTTTGCCCATCCGACTCCCCCTCCTTGGAAATCCCCGTCCGTGATCACCGCGACTTAGCAGGCGCGGCATGTGGACAGACCGAGCAGGCGATGCCAGGGAGGGGGGCACTCGCCCGTTTGCGCCCAAACTGTGGGGCGAGGTGCTTGTGTTGCGCCTTCGACTCCCAACTTGTTTGCAAGGTTCCGTGATCACCGCGACGTAGCAGGCGTGGCACTTGGGTACTGCAAGGAGCCGCCAGAGGCGTGCACATCCCCGTTCGCGCCAAGCTAGTGGGATGCCTTGAGCGGTTCGCTCGTTTGGCATCTCCGGCTTCTATGCTATGAAAGTCCAGTGATCACCGCGGTGTAGCAGGCGTGGCATTTGGGCGCTCCACGGCGGAGACGTCAGAGAGGGGGGGCACTTGTCCGTTGGCGGCCAGATTGTGGGGATGTCTCGAGCGAAGCGCCATGATGCAAATTGTGAAGACTTCTCGAGCGAGGCGCTCGCTCTGAGAGACCCCCTGATCGCGATGTGGCATACATGGCACGTGGGCACCCCAAGGAGAAGCCGTCAAGGAGCGTAACACTTGCCAGCTCGCGGACAGATCGTGGGGACGTCGCAAGCGAAACGCTGGTTGGACAGCCCCGGCGCCCCCCTCTTCAGAGTCCCACCACCATCCGGATGTAGCAACCGCAACATTTGAGCACTCCAAGGAGGAGCTGCCGGAGAGCGCTCAGTCGCCACAGGCTGGCACTTCGGACACTCGGCGGCAAGAGTCGTGGGATGACGTGCGCACATGACACTGCGCCGACCATGCAAACGTGCTGCAGCGGATTTTTGGGTGCAAAGCCCCGAAGAGGCGAGCACAAAAACGAAAGGACTTCCATGTAGATTGTTTGCAATATTCCGGAACGAAATTATCCAGGACACTCCGGGACCATCCCATTGTTTTCTGAAAGGAATCCGCTCTGCGATGTTGGCGCCATGAGATATGGGGATCTCCGTGTCGAATGTTTGTTCATAGCGTTGGAGGTCGGGGTCGCCACCGTCGGTCGCAGTGCCCGCACGCCTTCGCCTCCCTCAGCAGCGGCTTCTTGCAGCCCTTGAGATCCTTGCGATCGCGCGACTGCGGACCCTGGCGCGGCAGGCGTGGCTCGTGGCCGCCACCGTCACTGTCGTCGACATCGTCGATAACGTTGTCGTCCGCCTACTCGCCCTCGCCGCTGCCCTCGCCCCTCTGCTTTGCCTGTTCCTCCTCCCTTCTCTTCTCTTCTCCTCCTCCTCCTCCTCCGCCTCCTCCCTCCTCCTCTTCCTCCTCCTCGTCCCCCTCGACTATACACGCATACGCGTGCCATATATGCCCTATGATGCCACATGGGAAAGTGGCGGCGGTCACCGAAACTCCAAAACGCCCCGCGTCAACAACAGCCTGGATGCCAAGTGATCCTTATTTGATCACCACTCGATTTCCCACGTTTACAGAGGCGCCGTCTCGCAAGAGGAGGCGCAGCTGGGCGGGCACAAAAGCCACCCCATCGGGGCACAGGGGCAGAAATCAGGAGCGACGCGGGACATACACACAACCCCACCGGAACGCACAAACACACCCACCAGGACACAGCCATCGGCGGCGAGCCCGGGGGGAAGCGAGAAGGGACGGGCCTTCTCAGAATGCTTGGACGTCCCCCGCCGTTCTAAGAAGCTGCCTGGGCCTTCCCCGAAGGCACAGCGAGCATCTCAGAAGGCACGAGGGCTTCTGAGAAGCCCCGCCGCCTTCGGAGAAGGCCTGATCCTCCTCTCTTCCCCGCTCGCTCGTCGCCGAACCAGGACACAGGACACACAAACACCCAGTCGCGGGCGAGGGGGGGGGTCGGCACGAGCTCCTCAGCGCACCTCCTGTGCCCTGAGAGCCTCCAGGTCCAACCTCCGACGCCTTCAAGAGACCCACGGAGCCCAGGATGGCTCAAGATGGTCGCCAAATCGTGCCGACGAGGCCCCAGGACCAACCCAGGACGGCTCCAAGTTTCCACGAATCGACAGCCCCGAGAGGCCAACATCATTGCAAAAACTCGGGTATGTTCGATGTTCGTTGGCATCTCGCCGTTTCGCTCACGGTTGGCGTCCAAGGAACCCAGAAGAGGCCAAACACGGCCCCACGAGCGCTCCAAGAGCGTCCCACGAGGGCCTCCTAGAGGTGATAGTTTGGCCTCTGACATGCCGAGGCTGACCAGGGACCCTCCTCATGTCGGACGATACCTTGTAATATTGCCGATATGGCCCCCGCAAGGCCAACAAGGTCCCCAAAGAGGCCCCCGAGGGGCCCAGGAGGGCTCCGAAAGCTCCCAAAATGCTCCCAAGAAGGCTCCAAGATGGCTCCAGGAGGCTTCCGAAATGCTCTTAGAGTGACAGGTCCGCAAAAGTCTTTTTGGTTGACTCCTGTCGTCGTCGGTGTCGTCGTCGTCGTCGTCGTCGTCGGCATCGGCGTCGGCATCGGCGTCGTCCTCGTCGTCCTTGTCGTTCTCGTCGTCCTCGTCGGCCTCGTCGTCCCCGTCCTCATCCTCCTCGTCCTCCTCGTCCTCCTCCTCCTCCTCCTCCTCCTCCTCCTCCTCCTCCTCCTCCAACTCTCGTCCCCCTCCTCCTTCTCCTCGGCGTCATCCTCCGACGTCATCGCACTATTCCTCTTCGATCCTTCTCCTGCTCTTGTGTCTTCTCCTCCTTCTCCTCCTCCGCCTCCTCCTCCTCCTCCTCATCCTCCTGCTCATCTTCCTCCTGTTTCTCCTCCTCTTCCACCCACATCCCTGGTAATCCTCGCCCCCTCCTGCCCGCCTCCTCGACTTTCTCTCCCGTACCCTGGTCCTCCTCCTTCTTCGAAAGCATACTCATCAATTCATATCCTGGCTGCTGATTCCGAGCTTCGGCTTGACGGCTGGCTCACCTTTCTGTTGCACTAAATGCTCCTCTTCGCTGATCAGGGCAACCCCAAGGCACTGGCAAAAAGCCTCCTCCTCCTCCTCCTCCTCCTCCTCCTCCTCCTCCTCCTCCCCTTGTTGTTCCTCATCTGATTCACGCTCTCGTCGCCTTTTTCCTCCGCCGCGATAGCGACGGCTCGCTGACGTCAACCCCACGGACCTCGAGCCGGTGCCAATCGCAATCGCTCCGGCTTCGACGCTAGCCCGGCCAGCCCGATGAGGTTTCTTTGCTTCGCTGGGGGGGAAGTCGGCGGAATTAGAAGAATACACATCCGCCGGCCCTGTCGGCGTGTGTGAGGGGCTTGTCTGTTCAGCCGTCCTCTTCGTCATTCGTTACTGCTCGTCTCTGCCGGCTCCTTTCCCTGCTGCCCCCATTTCCCTGGGCCCGTTGCCGCTCCACTCCTTTTCCTGGGCCCTCTTCCCCAAGTGCGCCAGCCAAAGCGAAATTGTTTTCTCCTCCTCGGGAGCGCGGGCGGGCCTCCGCGCTCGAAACTCTCCTAGCCTGAACACCAGCGGAGCGGCAGCAGCTGGTGGGGTTCCCAGGGACCTCGGGTCTGAAGGAGGCCCCTGAAATATCAAAGAATCTCTACACCCCCTCGCAGGGGACTCCTCTCTTCATCCTCAAAACGAAGCGGTCGGTCCTTTTCCGACCTCATGCTGCTCGCGAAGACCCGCGAGCAGTCCTGACAGCGGGCAAGCTCGCGCTGACCGCGAGCGCCCGCACGGGCGAAGGCTCAAGGCTCACTCACTCATGCTTCTTCGCGAAGCACACCTCGCACCTGCGGCGCGCCACCAGGCGCCGCTCCACGTAGAGAACTCCCTCGAGAGCTCGGCATCGCCTGCTCTGGTGCACCACCCCGTCAGTCTCAGGCAGGTGGAATACCCAGCTCCCGTTCATCATCTTCGTCATGACCTGTGGGTCGCATTCTCCTCCTGATGAGGAGCTCGCCCTGGACGCCTGAGGCGCAGGGACAATGCGCCCCCACAGTACCCAGATTGCCGTCAGGAACCCCAGCACAAAGGTGAAAACCCAGCTGAGCAGCAGCATCACGGGCGCGATCATGAAATCGCGGTTGTCGTCATCGGTGCCTCCAGCACCACCTCCATCTTGCACTCCTTCTCCTCGTTGAACTTGCAGGGCCATGCACAAGACCAGGATCGCGGTGTTGAGGCTCGGGCTGCTCGCGATCTGTCCACCATACTGCGTGCCGCGAGCTGTCCGCCCCAGCTTCTCGATCACAACGTTCACCTCGTCCTCACGAACAGCTCCCAAATCTCCGTTGAGTCGGCGTAGTCCAACTTGCTTGCATAGCTGCTCGTGAACCTCGGACGTGTGTGGCTTCGTCCCAATTTCACTGGGATTCTCGGTACCCTTGCACTTCAGCACCTTCAGCCCAAGCATGCGCGTGGCCTGCTGGACCCAGAGTGCTCGCGCGTCCAGGTGGCGGACCTCCCCGACACCCTGCCTCAAGGACATCGCGCGAGCTGCTGAAGAGTCCGTCTCCAAGGTCCACTCAGCACGAAACCCAAACCATGTGAGCAGATCCCTGAGCATCTTGCCGTCCATGGCCACAGTGCTCAGCGCGTAGAACTCGCTCTCTCCAGAACTCACTGCAATCAAATCCTGCCTCCTCACTAGCGTCGCCAACACCACGCCATCAGCATGCAGAACCCCACGGGTCGCGCTCTTGCGCTTCGCCCCCTTGCCTCCGTGGTCACTGTCGGAGAAACTCCTCAAGTGGACAACGCCCTTCTTGTAGATCCTCATGTAGACCTTCGGGGTGAACACGCCCAGGTCGGATGTCCCAACCAAGTAGCGTCCAAGGCGAAGCAGCCTTCTCCAAGAGAGCTCCGTAGGCGCCGCCAGGTCAGATGCCAGCATCCCCACGGCCCTCTGGATGTCGGTGCGATCTTGCGCCAGGTAGAGGCCACTCCCCACGCGCGAACGATGCCTCCCGATCTGCTTGTCGACGAGTGGCGGGGAGTGCTCCAGGACATCCTCCGATCCCAAGTCTGGAGTCTTGACTGGGTTCGCGCCCTTCAGCCCTAACTCCGTGATGAGGTTGAGGGCGTGCTTCTCGTGAGGCTGCACGAAAATGCCCTCATCCGTCTTGATCCTCGTCCGCTTGAGGTACTCGAAGCGGCCCTCGATGACGACGTCGCTGTCCTTCAACTTCAGCTTGGCCCTGATCATCGAAAGGGATATCTCGACCTCGCTCTTGCGGCCCGTGCAGTAGAAGCCGCCCATGTGCAGCTCCAGGCCCAGCCTCGTCATCGGCTTGCGGTAGAACTGCGGGCAGGCCTCGTTGCGCTCGAAGCCGCACTCCAGGAGACGCTCAGCCGCGAAGCTGATCCACTCCCTGCTCGCAGCTCTCCTGCCAGGCAGCTGCTTCTCGAGCTTCCAGACCACGTCCGTGCTAAGGCCAGCCGTGGCCCTTGCAGCTAGCCACTCAGGGGCGGGCCGCAGTAGAACTCCTCCTTCTCAGGAACCTGATAGTACGCACTCGAGACATCGCCAACCGCAGCCACCAGCCGATCATCTGGATCATCATCGTCCTTCTGGCTGAGGAAATCAATGATGCGGCTGGTCAGGGACGTCGACCCAGGAGCGAAGAGACCATCACGCCCCTCGAGCCATGCAAACTCCCTGCCCACCAATCTGTACTTAAGATCCCCAGCTCGGTCCTTCTTCTCCCGCTTGGTATCAACCTTCTTCTTGCCGTCGGAGGCCGCTCGAGGATGAACTGAGTAGATGCCGAACTCATCGCAGAGCTTCAAGCCCTTGTCGAGCGCCTCAGCCGCCTCCTCCTGGGGGAAGCCGCTGCTGTCCCAGTGCGTGAGCTCCTTGGCCGTCAGGAGGGCCTTGTAGTCCAGCGCCTCGCTGGTGCCCTCGATGGCCCCGACGATCGGGTCCTCGTAGCGCCCCCTCTTGGCCTCGTGCCACCCCAGGACGGCATCGTTGTTCGGTGATCTCGCTCTGGTTGCCGTACCCGAGGAGCTCGCAGCAGCAGGCATCGGGGCGTCTGGCTCACCACTGGCACCAGCCCCCTCGGGGCCTCTTGGTCCACTCCCCGCGCTTCCGCCAGCTCCTGCGGAGCTTTCCGCCTCTCCGCCAGGTCTCGGCGGGGCCTCTGAAGCCTGGGCCTCCGGGGCCTGAGGGCGTGAGTCTGGTGGGCGCTCAACTGAGGCCTGGGAATCTGGAGGGTTCGTCCCCGACTCAGGACCCTCGGGGCCAGGACGGGCTGAGCCCTCCTGGCCCTCTGCCACAGACGGGGGAGCTCCTGGAGCTGCCCCCATCGGCCTCCGTGCCCACGGCCTCCAGCGGCGTCGGCGCGACCTCGCCCCTGCCGCCGTCCATGACGAGGAACCGAGGCATGTGCGCGACCTTCTCCCTCCAGGGCTCGCCGCGGACCTTCAGGAGGAGCTCCTTGTCGCGGGGCTGTCCCATGGGCATCCTGTGGACGGTCCTGCAGGTTACCTTGCAAGCAATCGCCAGGATGATGTGCTCGTCGTTGTTGGTCGTCTTGCCGACCCGGATCCCCTTGACCCAGGCAGTGTCCGCCTTGGTCAGCCTGGGAACCAAACCTCCCATCGAACGTCGCTGGCCCGTCTTGCTGACTGGAACCCTTGCCATCACCGCCTCAGCAAAGGGAACCACTGCTCCAGTGTAATTCACGCCGTAGACAGCGAAGTGAGCCGTATAGCCGTCAGCACCTCGCGAGCACCAGTTCGTCACGTTTGCAGCATGGTGGGCGAGGAACGGCCAGAGCGGGGAGTGCGGCGTGAGCTTGATACCGTAGTTCATCTCCACCTGCACCCTATTGGCCTTCAAGCGGCCTCGCCACCAGAGGATCCGCGTCTCGATGAAGCCCATCGACTTGCTGTCTCGCGTGCGACCCTGCGAAACGCTGGTCTCCAGGTTATCCTCGTTCCTCGCGTTCACGACCTTGTCCTGGAGAGCCTTCACCGCAGGCTCCGTGTCGCACCTGAGATCTGGCTTCTGGTACGCGAGCTGCTTCATGAACCTCATGAGCTGCTTCACGGCGTGATCGTCTGCGGCCTTGCTCCCCAGCGCGTTGCCGTGGAGCAGACCAGCGCTGCGATCTGCAGCCACAAGAGATGTCCCGAGACCCTTGTCGGCCTCGTCGCAGAGATTGTCCGTGTCCTTAGTGCCGTTGAAGGCCCAGTCGAGGAAAATCAGCTCCTCTCTGACATTGCTGCCGTACACGGGCTGCTTGACGCGCGGGTCCTCCGGCCCCAGTCCGAACGCACGCGCAGGGCACCACTTCTTGAACACCGCGTGACCAGCAGCCTCGTGTTGCTCCTTCTCAACCTCCGTTGGAGCATAGGGAGCCTCGACGACCTTGGCCTCTGTCACAGGCTGGCCGTCCACTTGCTGTTGGTAACGCTCCTCGACTGTCTTCTTGAAGTCAAAGTCCTGCTTGCGCTTGAGCTCAGCATGCTTGGGCCTCGTCCACAGCTGCTCCTTCGTGCCGTAGACCGCGGCTCCGAACTCCTTCAAGCGCTGTCGGAGCAGGTCGACTCGAGAACCTGGCCCGAGCTCTGCCCCCTCAGGGTCCCTCGCAGGGCGGGGGGGCCGCCCCTGGCCCTGGCTGGTCCCCAGGCGGACTGGCTGCCGCCGGCGGGGCTGAAGCGGGGGCGCCACCTCCAGACCCCGACGAAGCCGACCCAGCACCCTCTGCCATGGGCACAGGCGCTGCAGCTCCATCAGCCTGGACGGCCCCCTCGCCCTTCATCACCGCGTCCTCGTTGGCGGCGACGATGCCCGACCGCTGGTCGGAATAGCGGCCTAGCAACCGCTTGGTCTCCTTGGCCACATCCTTGGCGTCCTCGAGATCCCTGCGCACGCTGGCAGGGACCCCGAACGCGTTCTTCCTCCGCACCATCGGGATCTTGACATACCTCCCGTCAGGCTTGCAGAAACCAACGTAGCACCCGTCACTGTGCGAGTAGACCACGTCAAAACCTGCATCATAGACTCTGCCAGTGCTGAGTAGGTTCCGAGCGAAGGGGCCGACCTTGAAGTTGGCCTTGCAAACCACTCGACCCCCCATCGTGAAGGGAACCATGGCCTCACCATCAAGGGAGATATTCTGCTTCTGGGCGGCGATCAGCTTGGTCGACGCAGGCTCCACTGCACTATGTCTCGCAAAGCTTCGTCGTGCACAGTGCTCGTCAGCGCCACCATCCAGCATCAGAAAGTCGCCAACGTCGTACTCCTTGAGCTTGGCCCCGTCGCCGATGGCCATGATGATCGTGTCGTCGCAGGCGTGGCGCGCGAACTCGTCCTCCAGCTGGTCTCCGACGCTCTCGTAGCCGTCGTAGCCCACCTGGTGCCCGCTCGACTCGTGGTCGACGTAGTCCACCTGGTGCCCGTCTGAGTCGTGGTCGACGATGTCCACCTGGTGCTCGTCCGAGTCGTGGTCGACGTAGTCGCTCTCCAGCGCCATGCAGAAGCCGCACTCGTCAGAGTCGTCTTCGCTGGGCACGACCATCGCGTTGACCTCGGCGGCCCCCTTCTCGACGACGCTGACAGCGCCCTTTTTCCTGTCCTCCTGGTCTTTCTTGAACTTGAAGCAGTTGATCTTGATGTGGCCTTTCTTCTTGCAGTAGTGGCGCGTCTTGTCTTTGTCACTCGAAGGCGCGTTGCCGCCGCGCCCGCCCTTCGATCCGCCCTTGCCGCCATCGCCCTTGCCACCCTTGGAGTCGCCCTTGGCGCCACCCTTGCCCTTGAACCAGCACTTGTCGGCCGCGCGGCCGAGCTTCTCGCAGAGGTTGCAGCGCGGCTTGTCGAACCCGATCGCGTCAACCTGGCCGACCGCATCCACCTGCATCGGCGCCTGGCCTCCTCCTCCTGCCCCGGGTGGCCTGGGGGCGAAAGCCTTGGCATTTCTCTCCATGCAGTGCTCGCGAATTCTTGTCCGCATCACCGCATAGTTCTCTCTGACCTCCTGGCTGGCTCCGTCGAGCACCTTCCTGATTGGCAGCGGCGCATAGCCCAGGATGGTCGCACACTTGAGCCTGTCGCTGATCGTGTCATGGCTCGCCAACTCATACTGCATGACGAGATGATCCCAGTCGTGCAGCACCTCCGCGAAGCTTCGCCTCGAGTGATCATCACTCGTCCACCACTTTGGCTGCACGATCGTCGTCAGCAGGCTGTGCTCCGAAGTGCCGCCACTCGGGCGGTAGTCCGCATAGATCTGCCGAAGAGCCTCGAACCCATTGCCAGCACCAGCCAACTTAGTCATCGTCTGCGCTTTCCCGCGCATCTTCATCGCCAGGAACGTGCTCAAGTTCCTGCTCAACTCCAGCGTCTCAGCGTTCTGGATGTCCTCTGCAGCTATCGGACCCGCGTGGCCCACTGCAGCGTCATAAAGTGACTTCCACCGCATCTCGGTCACCTCTGCCTCCAAGGTGAAAAAGAAACTCTCGAACTCATCCTGGCCGCCATTGAAGCTCTCATGGCTTCGGATGTCCTTCAGCGACCAGATCTGGCACGTCCCGTTCTGCGTAGTCGTGCTCGCCATCGCGAGACCCGTCCTGGCGGAGCTGTCCACCCTCAGGCCTTCGTCGTGGTCGGTCACCACCGCGGGCCCAGCCCGCAGCCGTCGCCCTGCTGCCTCAGCAGAGCCAAGCCGTGGACCGCTCTCGTGGAGCAGCTCACGGCTCCGCTACCATGTTTTCTCCTCCTCGGGAGCGCGGGCGGGCCCCCGCGCTTGAAACTCTCTGAGCCTGGACACCAGCGGAGCGGCAGCAGTTGGTGGGGCTCCCAGGGACCTCGGGTCTGAAGGAGGCCCCTGAAATATCAAAGAATCTCTACAGAAATTGAGTAACGTCGTAACCCAATCGAAGGGAAGCCCCCTCCCTCTGATCCCTCCCCTCCCCCGCCTGGGGGGAAGGGAGTCCCGGGGGGGGTCCTGGGGGAGATGCGCCTCGGTCCCGGGGGAGATACGCCTCGGTCCCGGGAGAGGGTCACTACCCAGATACGCATCCCTGCTGGGGGTCTCGGGTCCCACAAAAGCCCCAGGAACCCCCTCCTTTCGACCCCTCCCCCGTCAGAGGGGGGGTCCAGGGGGGAGGGGGTCCCGGGGGAGATACCTTTCGATCCCGGGGAGGGTCGCCACCCAAATACGCAAAATACGCATCCCTCCGAATTCCCAGATCCTAAAATCGCCCCAAGAAGGACCAAGAGTGCCCGAAAAGGCCCCCAAGACGGTCCAAGAGGGCCCCGCATCGCCGAACGATCTGTCCAAGACGCCTTCACGGCCTCCTGAAAGCCCATGAGACCTGCAAAACGCCCCAAGAGGCCTCGTGTTTGAAGGATTTGGGCGGTCTCGCCTCTTCCGCTTTCCCACGCTCTAAGACAGCTCAAGAGGCCCCCAAAATCGTTCCAAGACGGCCCAAAGTCGACCAAGAGGTTCCCAACATGG